TCTGTACATCTCTGCAAGGAGAGAGACAGAGAGGAACATGATAATGTGAAAAAGGTGATGCACAGAAATTGGACATGCGTAAAGTCACGGCCATTGAATATATGAATAATTTCTGCTCGTATCATGCTAAAATACCATCACTTGGCAGGCTAAACCCTGATCCTATATGACAAAAACATTCAGAAAATAAACAGTTTTTTTTTTATTGAACTGTTTACTCAAAACATCAAAACATTTTTCTTTAAAACATCACCTGCCAGAATAAGCAGGTATTGATAAAATATGGATGGAGAATTGAGCTGCTTTTCTCTTTCTTTGCATCATATTTGACATATTAGGTTTTTGTGGTCATGTAAATATAAGTACACTTTGGAACATATTTACTCAATCCAGCAGGTTTTTGAGGCAAGTACCAACTTTGGTAAAGAGTTCGACATGAAATACTTGTATTTGAAATTATACCCATAGCTTATTCCCACGGTTGCTTTGTCCAATTTGTCTTTGAGTTCTTCTACTGCTAATGTGGAGGCTAACAAGCTCTATTTTATGTTGATTTTATTGGCAAAGATTACTATCTAGTGAAGATGCTCTCAGTTATTGCCAGTTTACAGAATTCATTATTAACTGTTGTAGTGTTTTCAATGTGGATGTTGGTAACACCAAGTTAAATCACAAAATGAAGACCCTTGGAGTTCCATAGCAGTGTTGTCTCTGTTAACATGTGGTGAAAACTGCAATAATAGGAAATAATCTTAACACAAAGCTATCTCACACAAAAATATGGTGCATCAAATGTATACAATCCATATTTTGTCTAAATAAGCATCAATATGCAAACACCGATACGTAAACTATTATATGAACAAACCTACGGCAACCTGATACTGCGATTCCTCATGCCTAGTTCTAGTGTTTACTGGCGGAAATGGGAAGTGCAAAACCGGAAGTGGACGTACGATTCTATTTTTCTTTTTAAATCGACATCAATTAAACATAAAATTTTTGTCTAAACCTGCAATCCGTTTTTAACAACTTAGAAATATTTTTGCATTATTTATTTAAAACTATGAACTTAATTATTTTAAGAATTGCCATAAAGGCAACACAACTGTAGCAAAGTTTAGACATGATTGAAGGATGTTTAACTACATCTATTTTGTGGAATTATGCATGCTATGGGTTATCTGACTGACTTACTTTTCAGCCACACTGATTCTCTATGGATTTGTTGAAGTTTTTGTTAATGGCTGCACTTATCATAAAATCTTAATGATAAAAGCAAGTGGAATGCTCCAGTCACCTTAACACGTGGAATTCTTAATGTTTTTAGTCAGTCAGTCATTTTCTACCGCTTATTCCATAGTGGGTCACAGGGAAGCTGGTGCCTATCTCCAGCAGGCTACAGGTGAGAGGCAGGGTTCACCCTGGACAGGTCACCAGTCTATCGCAGGGCAACACACAAACAAACACGCACACACTCATTCATACACCTAAGGGCAATTTAGAGAGACCAATTTACCTAACAGTCATGTTTTTGGACTGTGGGAGGAAGCCCGAGTACCCGGTGAGAACCCACGCATGCACGGGGAGAACATGCAAACTCCATGCAGAAAGACCCCTGGCTGGGAATCAAACCCAGGACCTTCTTGCTGCAAGGCAACAGTGCTACCAACTGCACTACCAACTGCACCACTGTGCAGCCCTTGTTTTTAGGCATTTATTGACTTATTTGAGTCTGCAAAATGTAGTGTATTTTTCATAGTTTTCCAAACATTGCTGTGCTGCTCTGACACAAATCCCTGTGAGGATAACACATGCTGTCCCTGCCAGTGTGAGCAATTTCTTGACTGCATGCAAGACACTGAACCAGTGTAGTACAGAGCTAGGTTAGCAGTGTTTTATAAAGACCAATGACCCCCCCATACACACACACACAAAATGCTAAAATCTCCACAGGGACATGTCGAGTTACATGTTTTGGTTCTTATCTTCAAACATGGGCCATTTAGTGTGGCAGGCGGCTTTAATTTTCTGCTACTTAGTGATAGCTTTATTAAGTAACCATAGGACTGTTGTGTACTGATCTGTGTAACACAGCCTTTCTTTAATAACAAAATGAAAATTGTGTGAGAATATGGCTCATGCCAGTTCAGATTTTGGAAGATGTTCATCTAATGTAAAAGCAGCTTTTGACCTGTTTGCTGTCTCTATCTCTCCCTTCCTCATGCATTTCCTCTGGATCCTGAAGCTGAAGAGTATGCTGTTGAAGGTAAGACTAAGGCTTTTCTTCTCAGGCAGTCTGATGGCATTCCCCACTGCTCTCATGGCTGCTGATGCTACTTGTGTGTTAATAATGTTTGTCGTCCTTCTGCAGAGGGGCATTGTCAGTTTGGACTGCGGTTTGAAGTGACTTCCAGGGGGCCTAAATTCAAGTTACTGACAATAAAATGAAAGGGGTACAATTACAATCATAATTATCCCATTTAATCTAGTGTTTTTATTATCTGGTTCTTTGTTTTTACTTTTTATTTGGTTGTGATTTGTTTACAAAGATACAAAACTCTACTTATCAATAGCACATATTTATGATTTGCACAGAAATGATCAGGGCTGCTTTGCAACTTGAGTTGGCGTACCAGTCAGCAGTACTTTATCAAAAATAACAAGCAAACTTGTGATTTAGAGATCAAATCTTTTGACTTTTCTTCCTTTATTTCTATACCCCTCAGAGGTGAACAAATGCTTTTAGTCGGCGCCCCTGAGGGATGTCATAAGCCCTTAGGCCAGGCGCTAAGCCTGAGCTGGATAGAAGAGAATTAATGGATAGATCAGTCTTCACTTGTATGTCTGCAGACACTTGCCTGTTTCACCTCTGCAGCTAGAGAGCCTCAACTATTTAAGTGAATGTGGGTGTCGGTTATTTAGGGTCTGAACTGGTGTCTAGCGGTGCTTTTCCTTTCTGCTAAGATGAGGGATCCAACAGAAATCTGTATGATAAATATTGGGCTTTTTTGCGACTGTTAGTTACTGCTCCCACAGCCTGACATCTAGAGTATTGGGGACCGCAACAACTTACAGCGTCAAGCCCAGACTGCGGTAGATTGTGATGCTACATAAAGTCTCCATTTGCAGATGCAACTAAAGTATCTAAGTTTTAAAATCCCAAATTCTTCCTTCAAATGTGCAGTTCACTTGGACATATAAGGAGCCAATCAATGAGCCACTTGTTAGGTAGGTTTCCATTGGTGCTTGTTAACTTTTGCAGATTTTTATTCACCAGGACTATGATTAAAGATGAAACGGTCATTTAGATTCTGATGAATATTGTAAAGCCATGGAACAGGTATATCTGTAATAAGTGACATAACTAATGTGTTCTTGTTTCTTAATGCTAATATCTCAGTAATTGTTTTTTGTTTTCTCACAAGTCAAAACTTTTTATTAAAACGTTGGAGGTATGTTAAGAGTACCTAATGTGGTGTTGAAAAAAACTGCTTCAAAGGAGTGTTTTTATTCTATTCTCGCTAAGATTAGACTCAGGGGTGTTTCTGCATCCTTTTGTGCTCTATTTTTAGGGTTTACTGTTAGGTTTAATTGAGTTTGGCGGCTGCACGTTCAAAGACTGACAGAGACTGATGATGCAGAGAGAATTTAAAAGCCCAGATGTGGCAGGTGACCCAGGAAAGTGGATTATGGCCTAAGCTCTTTCACTCTAGATTCACAGTTCATGGCAGGCTTGTGTGATGGAGCTGGTTTTAGTGGCTATCTTGCAGTTCTTTGATTGTTCACTGATAAATACACAAATAAACATACGTGGAGGACTACATTCCAAGTACCTATCAAGTTTATTTTGTTTCTTTCTTTTAAAGAGATGGCTGAAAACTAATGTCATTTTGTGTTGTATGACTTGCGTTATCGCCCCTTTGTCAGTGGTTGGCCGATTCTAACTGATTATCATAAGACAAAGTAATGAAATGGGATGAAATGTAGAATAGGTGGGCGCTGTTTTTTTTTTTCCCAGTGCATGGGTACAGTTTAGTCCATGATTATAACAATGGATAAGAGGGAAAAAAAAAATGTCTGGGTACAGGGACAAGATGATGGACTTAGTGACTAGCTGCTGTGCTTGAGTGAACAATGTCCTGAGCTGCCCACAGTGATCTTAATCAATGTGGTCAAGGCTAATGATCTTTTCTTTCTGAGTCATGCAGGCCTCCAAATTAATCTTCCTCTCTGGGGGAGACAATAACTGTTTTTCAGCAGAACAACAGACAAAGGCTGCTTTTGCAGGGATACAGGATTATAGATTTAAGTGGAGCCTGTAGATTCAAGAGATTACTTTGGATCATCCAAACCAGATTATTAAATTTGTTCTTATTTGGCAAGGATAAATAAAACAGAACAATAGGCAATAATGTTCATGTTTTCTAAGCATACATGTTTGTGTGTGTGTGCGTGAGTGTGTAAAGAAGATATTAAAGGTAGTAATTCACTGTAATAATATCAGTCTTGTAGTAACCTAGATTTTTTTTTTCTATATCAGCTAATCCACATACCCATGTAGGTAACATGTGGCTGTCAACTTCAGGTTTATGTAGCACACGGCTTTACTTTTAGAATGTTGGTATTTTTCTCAAAGCAGTTTGTTTATCCAGTGATACTAGCCTCTCCATGTTTTCCTGAATTCCAGGGAGATTAGTTATGTTCAAACAAAGCAATCAGTTTTAGGAAGATAGCAAACCTTTTGAACATAGGAAACTGAAAAGGCTGGATTACAAATACACACAGTAACCTTGTTGAAAATGAAAATGGACCAATGGGAGCGAGGATAAAATGGCATCTCTCTTTGCGGTTCACAGCTTGCTTGTACTGCTTAAACCATAGGATGTTTCCTTTGTGTACCCTGCTTTTGCCAGATGTTGGATTAAGATTAGGCTTTCTCAGCTCCCAGAGGTCCAACCATGCCAACCTTGCCAAGTCCAACCCGCACACAAGTAGAGGTGACTGTGGCTCAGTGGGAAGTGTTGTCATCTTGCAATCTATAAGCTGTTGGTTCAATTCCAGCTTCCACCTGCCACATGTCGATGTGCCCCCACAAGGCACTTTAATGAGTTCCCTACTCATCTGTGTATTGTGTATGAATGTGTGTCCAACTGGGTGAATGTGGCTCTTGTGTAAAGTGTTTTGAATGGTCGGTATGACTGCAAAAGTGCTATATAGATTCAGTCTATTTAACTCTTTTTTTTTTTTTTCTTGCTAAAGTTCTTTGTTGTACCTAATCTTGAGTAATGAAATGGCCAACCGTTTTGGAGAAACTCTAGATTTTCCAGTGGTAGCAGATGTTTTGGGTTGTACTCTCTCCTGCTTCTCAATATATTCATACAGTACGTTACAAACATCAATATATTCCTCTTGTCAAGGAAGTGTCTAGCAAAGCACTATCCAGTTTGCTGTTGTAAGACATTGTTTAGTTAATTGAGCGCGGAAGAAGGATCCACCACTTTACAACCATTTCAGTAAAGCAAGTTTCGATACCTGGTGGAAAAGATAAATAGTGAAAGACAGACTGTGAGAAAATCTTGTGGCACACAATGATTGAGTATTGATACTGAAGCAACCATTTAATTTGCAACTTCCCATTCATAGCTCAAAATCTAAAAGACTGACCAGCAGTTTTACACTAAATAAAATGAGTTTAATTTATTTATTTCATTTATCAATTATTTTCTACCATTATTCTATTTTCAAAGACACTAAAAGGATGAGTTTAATGCTTCCTTTAGCCTGTAGACACAACACTTAAGTTTGAATGCAATGTAATACTTCTGCTTTTACTGAAAGGTAATGTTATGGATTTTAATGACTCAAGCATATTTGCTCATCTGTTGTTCAATATTTAATATATTTACTGTAGTCAAATGTGAACTGGATAAATCCGTAGCTATCAGAGTTATAAAACACGGTTTGTGATTTGTAAAACTTTACTCTTTTTGTGAAAACAAAAAAAAAAAAAAAAAGACAATTTCCCTGCTGTTTATAGCATCAGGAGCATCTTAGAGGGGGAAACTGTTAAAATGGTTTCCTCTTCCAAGGTTTCGCTCAAACAAGTCAAATCTAAACCAAATTAAACTACGCTGAAGACAAATCCTTCAAAACCTTTTTGAACAAATGAAACCTTCACTCTTAATTTATAAAACCCCAAATATTGGAATACTATTTTTTTTTTATTGTTGTTCAAGTGAACACAATATTGTCTATTGTCATGTCTCATTAAATGAAAGTAGCGTTTTTGTTCTGCTTACATTTCTCAAAGTTTTTCTCACTGTACAAGCTAACTCATACATATAAAATATCACAGTTGCAACACTATGCATCAAATAGGCATTTTATAAAGCTGTGTTTTTTACAACTATTAACAGAAACATGGGGATTTGCTGGATCAATAAATCAGTTTAGCAAATAATAAAGTTGTTTCCTAAACTGATATTTTCTCAAATTCTTAACTAAGTTGTTGTTGTTGTTAGCCTAACTCCTTCATGATAATTTTTCCCTTTTCTCCATACTGAAGTTGCTGACTAATGTCCACTCCAGGTCATTTACTGCTTCTCCTAAGTGAATGAAATTCCTTTAATGACTACAACATATCAGAAATAGAGTAGAAATCATGAAAACTAAACATTTATGGCATGTTTGTTCACATTTTTAAGGTACAAAGTGGAGCTGTTGATAATTTTTTAATGTTTATATAAATGTGGCATTTCTCTTATAAACTGAGAGTAAATCTTATTCATTTGTTTTTGTTCATTGACTCTAGTGAGAAATACATTCATACAAAGTTATGGCTGTTTTTGATCTGTCAGTCAGGTTTTATTTCTACTTTTGATCAGTCACCCTATTTATTGTTTGTTATTGTTTATCATTTCTCCTTCTTTTTTGTGTTAGACTGCCCTGATTTTCCTGGGTTTTATCAGTTATTTCACCATATTTACATTCTTTCCATATGTTACCCTCATCCTCTTTATTCCATTGCAGCGAGATGCACCTTTCGGCTGGGCTTAGGGGGTATATTGCTGAGCTCCTCTTAGGGTTTTATTTTTTTAATTTATGGCTCTAGTGCGGACATGGTAATGAAGCTGTAATGAATTAGAGGGCAACAGGGGTTTATAGGCTGGTGCCCCCCATGTTATCACAGGATGACATTTTGTCCGTTTTATAATTTGCTTTTTCTGCATCGTAATGTTATTCAATTGCTAAACTATTAGAATACATTTTAAAGCAAACAAATATCAGACTTCATTTAACAACTAAATGTGTCCAAATACATTAATAACCCCCTAATGTTTTACAGAGAGCTTTTCAAATAAAAAGTCAAAGAAGGTGATTAACCCAAGAGAACTGTGCCTACAATGTGAAACCTGGCCCAAAGGAATAGGGATTAAGAGGGTACTGTAATCATTGCAGCCCTTTAGCAATTCCTTCTTCCTTTGCATCAGTTCATTCAGTTTCACTGGACATATCGAATAGAGACACATTTGCCTTCAGAAAATAGTCATGTCCCCTTTTACTTTATCAGTTACGTTGAGCCCTGATGTTACAATCATTTAAATCTACTTTTCTTCTATTTAATTCACATCAGTATCCTGTAATGACAACGTAAAAACCAGAAATATATCCATTCAAGGAAAAAATCTGAAATATCACATTTTCATAGGTAGTCAGCCTCTTTATGTGATATTTATACTTTGCAAACAATTAAATTACTGCCTTCAGTTTTGGGGTTTGATGCAGAATGATTGGCACACCTAACTAGGTAATATTTTGCTCTTTTTAAATACTATCACACTTAATTAAGTTGGAACGGGAACATCAGTGGGCAACCATTTTCTGATCTGTTCAGAGATGTTCAACTGTAGGACATTCACCAAGTTGTCCTCAAGACCACTGTAATGCTTTTCCTATGTGCATAGGGTCATTGACATGCTGCAAAGTAAACCTATGACCCAAGCTGCGATCTGGAGCACTGTGACAAAGCTTTTCATTGGGAATATCTGTTTAGTTCAGTAAGAGTGATCATCATGTTCTTGTTCGCCACTCTCACTAAGGGGTTCTCCCTCGATTGTTTAGTGACAAGGTGAACAGCTATGGTAGCGATCCTGGTGGTGTTTCCTTAATTTTAGAGTTATGAAGGTCAGTCTGCTTCTAGGAAACTTCTTTACTGTAGAAATAGCAAAAATGCTGTGTTGCAGCAATTATGTGTCTCAGTTTCTCATTATCAGTCTCTTTTAATGTTGCACTCTCAGTTCAAATAAAACAGTTCTGTTGCATGTGTGAATTAGTCGTGAGACCTTTCTCCTTTTTTCTTCTATCTGAAGGTCTATTCCTTCTTGCTGTCTCGCATTACTGTACCGACTTGAAATTTTAATTGACAGCCTACTGATGGCACTATAAAGAAAATTCGCCTGTCAGGATTGAGATCAATGGGCTTCTGAGATTTAACAATGTATCCAACATCATAATCATATTTTTCTCTTCACCATCTGGAGAGCATTAAAGCAAAAAAAAAAAACAAAAAAAAAAAACGGGTCTTTACATACAAAGTGATGATGAAAAATGAAATGCATGTTTGATGTTACAATTATAATATTTTGTCACTGCTACTCAGCTAGCCCTTATTAAAGTCCTATTTAAAGAGCAAAGGGTTTAGATTGTTTGTGGGAGCTGTGAAGTAGAAATGGGACCAATTTGATTGAATATTGTTATCTAGATACTGGCATCATTCTTGGATTGGATTCTTGGACTGAAACAACACCTCCTGTGCTGTTATATAATAGGATTTATCCCTCGAAGGTTTGGTGTACCACCAAAGTGGTTTTTGCACATTTATATATTAAAATATCAATATTAATCTCAGAAACTGTATTTAATTAGTTGTTTTAATACATCTCAAGAAATTTGTCATTTTAAATGAAGTTTAAAGGTACAGACGGACCCTGTTAGGAAAGCCCAGTAAGTGTACCCAAGCTGGCTACATAGAGAACGTTCTGCTGCACAGCATCTTCTTTGGAGATATTTAAGTATTGAGGGGGAGAAAATACAAGTTAGCTGTTTATTTGCAGCTGTCTTTATGGATAAAGTCCTTTATGCCCCCGTACCCTTCCTCTCAATGGTCTATAATTCAGATTTAGCATGTTTGCAGAACGTGAATATAGGTGTGGGGAGATCATTCTTATCCTTATGATGTACAATTAATTAAAAAATTATTCATACCCCTGGCATATTTAGATTGACATTTATTTTTTCAGGGCTGCACGGTGGTGCAGTTGGTAGCACTGCTGCCTTACAGCAAGAAGGTCCTGGGATTGACTCCCGGCTGGGGGTCTTTCTCCATGGAGTTTGCATGTTCTCCCTGTGCATGCGTGTGTTCTCTCCAGGTACTCCAGTTACCTCCCACAGTCCAAAGACATGCCGGTTAGTTTAATTAGTCTCTCTCAATTGCCCTTAGGTATGAATGGTTGTGTGCATGGTTGTTTGTCCTGTGTGACTCTGTGTTGCTCTGCTCTGGTTGTTCTTATTGGATGATCAGTAACTTTAAAGCAAATGCTTACAGGTTCTTAAAATATCCATATCAACAGATATTTAAATTCAGATATTCAGATTGTTTCACAATACAGAGAAAGACCTCTACTGGAGGGTCTCCACTTTGAAGGGAATTCTGGCCTTTCTTCAGAAATGGGGAAAAAAGTCATATTTGTTTACATTTTAAATGTGTTTAACATTTAACTGATTGGTCCAGTTGTCTTTTTTAACAAATGTTTCTTTGAATGTTGTTGCTCACCAGTGCCTTTTTGTTATGACGCAGTTTATATGGTGGTTCTTTTTTATCATTTATTTATTTACACTCTGTTTCTCCTGTGTGCAGACCCATTTTTCATAGAGTAACAAAATAGGCATCTAAAAAATAAAGAATATCTGATCTGTCCTTTTCACATTAGTACAGAAAGAACCTAACTTTTGCTTCTCACACTGTCAGTGTGCTTCAAGCACTATGATGAGTTGTTATCAGAAACACCATAAATTTG